TATTATTATATATATAATATTATTTTAATTATATAAAAACACTGATCCTGTGAAGGAACCGAACCCCGAACCTGGAACAAGGTCCCCTGCTTACCATTTCACCACACGGACAATCCTTGGGGTCCACTTGCGCAGACTTTTATCCCAAAGGGAGCCAGTTTTTAGGGGGAAAAGGGTTACACTTTTTTATCTCATCCCCGCATGCATCACCTTACTAGGATTTGAACAATGCAAGGGAAATTTGCAAGAGAGGCAAAAAAAAATCAAACACTGATCTCTGGGGAAGGAGACTCGAACATATATTTTAAAAATTAATATAATATATATATAAATTTTTTAAAAAATTTTTTATATATATATAATTTTTTTAAAAAATTTTATGCAAAAAAACCATGTGAAAGAAAAGAGAAATTTCCCAAACGATTTCGGATTTCTCCCTTACAAGGAAGAATGAAATGCGAGTAGCCACAAAGGCTGGAAATTTTTCCCTTTTTTTCACAGTGGTTGTTTTGCATATTCTGAAACCCCCGTTTAGTATCCCTTTTGGATTTTTAAAATATATATATATTAATATTATATATATATATTAAAAATATATATTTTAATTATATATTTTATATTATACCGGAGGTTCCTGGAGGTTATTTCCGGGGGATCAACGCCCCCGCGGGGCCGTCCAGACCAGGCCTCCCATGATAGGGGGCCGATCAATGGCTGTTACGTGGCCCACCACCCAAAGTAGAGCCCCCGCCCGGCTGATCCCGGGATACTTTTGGTACTGTCCGCTCTCTTGAAGGGGCCCGGGGTTTATTGGCAATTTCCCCAATGCTTTTTTGGGGGGTGTTAATTTTTTTGGGCCCCGACACTTAATAATATAATAAAAAGCAAACAAACAAAGGGCGATCTTAAATATGCAAAACAAGCCACAGTGGGTGGAAATCTTTAGCTTAAGTACTTTCGCACTTCTCAGTGCGTCATCAGGAGGTATGCAATGTTGCAAGGTTGCAACTGAAGGAGTGACGGAGTGGGCCTGTCACCTCCTCCTGGCTCTCTTAGAATGTGGCCAGCGGTCGGCGTCACACCCACCACTGCCACCATCCCCAATCCCCCATATGGGGTAAGAGGATTTTGAGAAGTCAAGATTTATGAAATTAGAAGGTATAATAGTCCGCCCTAAGCTTTTCCTAAGCGTTTAAAACAGGTCCTGTGACTTGAGAAAATGTTTCTCAGTGGATATTATATATATGGATTGCTAATATTCTGTGTAACCTATTTAATTAATAAAAGAAAGGAAATGAATGTGCTCTTTGTCTGTTTAAATGTTCTGTTCCCCAATGTTCTCAGGGGTACTGAGACGTATCCTTTATATCGTTTACTATTCTTCTCAGTATCGATTATTATGCCTTACTTGGGATTCTTCTCTACCATTCCAATAATATTTCTATGATGATAAATTAGACACATGTGCAACTCTTGGGTATCTTTATTGAGAAAACGTTTCGCCACACAGTGGCTTCATCAGTCCATACGTAGGAGAAACTTGAAGAACAGGAGGAGAATGAGGTAATCAGTCCCTCAACCTTGAGTCGATGTGTTCAGTCCATCAATACGGTTTACAAGCTGCTTCTCCGCTGATATGCCGTATTCTATTCAAGATTGATGGACTGAACACATCGACTCAAGGTTGAGGGACTGATTACCTCATTCTCCTCCTGTTCTTCAAGTTTCTCCTACGTATGGACTGATGAAGCCAGTGTGTGGCGAAACGTTTCCTCAATAAAGATACCCAAGAGTTGCACATGTGTCTAATTTATCAACATGTCGGTTCTCTGAACCATTCATCTACAAATATTTCTATGATCCAGATTTCTACTTCTAATATCCTTTAACCCACTACCTATGTAATCAGGTAATCTTGTCAATGAAATGGTGCAATCAATTGGTGTAGCATGGTGTTTTGGTGCGTAGACAACTGGTCGAGCGTCACCAATCCATCATGAAAACCACCTGGCATAATGAGCAATCCTGTGATTTGTATAGCATTGTTGTTTAAGGTTGTGTACAATAGAATCTACTAGATAGCTATCGAGCTTGTGTAACCCATAATTTTAGTTATATACGGTATTTCTGTCATGTTTCAAGAGAGAAGATTCCATTATGTTCCTTTCTATGACAGAGCTGTTTGGTACAATAATTTGGGCAGCATCCCAACACGGTGGGTGATTACAGAAGCTAACGTTAAAGATAGCGTTCAGCTCCTGCCTCTCCTGACTCAGTATTTATGTTGGCTATTCTGTTTCCAGAATTTTACTTGTTTGACCTACATATGAGAGAGGACACTGAGTACACGGGACCTTGTAAACCCCACCAACTTTGTTGGAGGGCGTGTTTTTAATCAGCCTTTGTTTTACTGTCCCCGTGTTTTTGAAAGCAAGGTTTATATTGATCTTTTTTAATGCTTCACATAGGCAAAGCTGGTACATTTTTCCTAGCCATCATTTCCTTAGGTTCAGTCCTGTAGAAAGTCTTTTTTGCTGATATTAGGGCCTTCTCGACAAAATCCCTAGGATATCTAAGTTTTGTGGCTGTGATGAATATCTTGCATATTTCGTCCACTAAGTACTCCGGACTGTAGATGCGCAAGGCTCACAAGAACACTGTGACGAACACACTCTGGTTTTATGATTGGAATAGTAGTGAATTTTCTATCAATACGATGGATTAAAACATCTTGGGAAAGAAACATGGCTTGTGAACCAGGGTGCCCAGCTTATGTGGCATTTGTGATGGCCGAGTGGTCTAGAGCGCTGCCTGGGAATCTGTCCGCCCCAGTAAGCAGTATCGATTCCTGCTGACTGCGATATCTATCTATCTCTATTTTTTTTTACACAGGGTTTGACAAGGTTAAGGATCCCTAGATTTATTGACAAGCTATTTACAGGTTAAGGATTCATAATTTTATTGACAAGCTAAGAGCTGTTACCTACATCAGCTCATTTGAAAGCATTTTTATTGTTATAAGACATACAAGTAGGGAACAGGATAAAGTTGGAGCCATCTGTGGGCCAGCATTTTCATTTGATCAACTGACTTTATCTCGTTGACATCATCATGCTGTACGTATGTGTTTCATACTCGAGTCATCCTGGGTATATATGATCTCAGATAGAGTGATGTTCTGGAGAAGGGTACAGCCACAGTGAAGTTGCTGCTTTCTGCCCGTGTGGTGGCATAAAAGCTTGTTTCACGCTGTCCTCGAAGTGGATCCAAGTGTGGTACTTTGACAATATTGACCTTGTACATAACAGTAAGGCCACCCACATCCCTCCTGTGTTGAAGGCTCTGCTGAAATGACAGATCTATCCAGGATCGGTCCAGGCGAGAGATGAGACGTCTTGCTCTGTTCTCTACTCTGCCAAGCAGTCGCAGATGAGAGGGGGGGGGGGCAGGCAAACCAAGAAAGTGGAGCATACTCAAGGTGTGAGCGTACTTGTGCCTCGTACAGAATCTTGCAACCCCTACTGTCAAGCAGATGCGAGATACGGCGAAGTGCTGTAAGCTTCCTGGCTGCCTTGTTTGCAAGATTTACAACATGGTTCTTCATGGTCAGTATGGAGTCAAATTTCACCCCAAGATATCAACTTCTTCTCCATTGCCAACACCCTCCCATTCATCCTTACTACTGCACCAGCATTACCATCATGGTGCCTAGAGAAGATCATCATTTGCGTTTTCTTAGGTGCAAATGTTACTTGCCATCTATTTCCCCAAGCTGATTTAGCTCTTAGCTGGTGATTGATGTAGCTTAGAGCAGCTGGCATTTTCTTCTCTTGGATAAGTGAATGTCAGTGTACAGTCGTCTGCATATGCATGGGATTCTGGATGAGATGAAGAAGGTCGTTAAAATAGACATTCCCATAAACAATGGACCCCGCACGCTTCCTTGTGGAACACTTGCCCCAATAGGATGTCTTGCTGATTCCGTTCCATTGAGAACTACACTTAAAGATCTACCATGAGGTAATCCACTGAGGAGACATAGCGTAGAGCCTGCAATTCCTAGTGCTTGAAGTTTTGCTAAGAGGCCCTGGTGTCACACCCGGTCGAAAGCGCCAGCAATGTCCAGTGCTACCACACAGCTGACTTTAGATTCATCCAGTGACTGGTGCCACTTAGTGAGAGGTTTAACAACAGATCAGCAGCAGAGTAACCTTTCCTAAAGCCATATTGACGATCACAAGTAGTGAGTGATAGTCAAAAAACTCTGTCATTTGTCTTGAGATTATTGTCTCAAGGATCTTACCAGTGATTGACAGGAGTGACACTGGTCTGTAGTTGCTGATTTCTGCTCTGCTCTTCTTTTTGTGAACAGGGACTACATTTCCCTCTTTCCATAGAGAGGGCCATTTACACTGTACTAGGCAGTGCTGAAAGATGCGAGTTAGAAGGTGCTGCTAGCTGGTCTGCACATCTTCTCAACAATCTTGGGCTCAACTTGTCTGAGCCCACAGCCTTTTCTTGGTCAAGCGATTTAAGAAGGAAATGCACCTCCTCCTGCCTTAAATGTCACCACTGACAGTTCTGACACAGTTCTTGCAGCTAGCCAAGGAGGGTCCCTTGCTGGATCAGGAACTTGCATTTTGGTAGCAAAGTGTTCGGCAAAGAGGTCCTCTTTCTCTTGACTACTCTTGACTGACTCTCTCTCTCTCTCTCTCTAAATCTGAGATCAGTTTTTTTAATATTACTTAAAATTAGTGATATATAATTGTTTTTCGTTATGCTGAGATTGATTTCCTCTGGTTTATGGTAAAAGCAAATTTTCATTCTGCTAATTCGCTCAAGTGCACACTCTTGTCTAACAGGCTAAACTCGCCAATTCGGCTTAAACTGCACGTCATATATAGATACGTAGAAGCTTTTAAGAGTGATTTGGTCTCTACAGATACTGATAATGACCGATAAAACCAGAGAGATATAATAAAAGACTGGAGAGTTTTAAA